ACCAAGAACAGCCAAACATTTACGTGTATAAAGAAGTTGCCAGCGCGGAAATGTGGAACCACGCGCATTCAGGAAGATTCATAACACAAACGAGACTACCTTAATAATAATAAAACAATAGCAGACAATTACAACCTACCTCCATTTGCATGTTGGTTTGTGTTCATGTGGTCTTCGGCTCAATAATTGTGACACAAAGTGGATCACAATTCTGACTTGGCATCTCCAAAGATAGCCTTGTCCACAAATTCGGCTAGATATTCCATTTCCTCTGGATGGCTGCTGTGTCCCATGTTGTAGGCTTTGTCCACGACGGAAACACCTTGACTTCGAAGCTTCTCCACACCAAATGCTTGCTGAGCAAACAGGACCTTATCGTCCATTTTACCATGTCCCCAAAACAGAGGAATCTGTTTGGCATTGTCGGAAACATCCAGGTCTCCTGGCAAGGTTAACCACGCCGACAGACCTGCACAACCTGCAAAGGTTTCTTGCCCTCTGTAGCAGGTCAAGAGCGCAATGGCTCCACCCTGTGAGAAACCTCCAACGACAATCTTGGAGGGAGGAATCCCGGCTTCTCCCAACTTTTTAACCTCCGATTCGATTTGTGCCACTGCCTTGTCCAACCCTTCTCGGTCGTCTTTGGAACCCACGCCAATCGGCCAATCAAAGAGATCAAACCATCCCGGCATTTGCATGCCTCCATTGATGGTAATGCCAATCGTCGGTGCCGGCGGAAAGACGTAGGTGATATCTTTGAGGCGAGGCTTCATCTGCGGGAGCGACCTCTGGAGCTCGGACCATCCTGCAGGGGAATCACCGAGACCATGCAGAAAGATCAAAGCTCCCTTGCTGCCATTGGCGGATGTAGACAGAGCGGGCGGCTGCACGGTTCCATGGCGAAAGAAGAAAGAATCCAAACTGTCAATGTCAAAGAATGATACCCAAGGAATCCTGCTAATAAACCTGGCATTCGGCTAGAGTATCCTTTCATCCAACCACGGCCAACAGGATTCGTTTCCTTTGTAAAGTAGCTGGAGTAACACTGGAAGCTGGAAGTGGGCACTTGCTAGCCAGGTGCCGATTGGTTTGAGGACTGTTGGTTGGTGGCTGTCGGGTAGTCGGGACAAAAGATTTTCAGAACGCACATTTTATCCTTATCGTATGGATCCATTGAATCGTACTGTACCGGAATGATTCGATTCATTCGATTCACGGCGACAAGAGGAAAACAAGTTCGTAAGCTGTTCCGGGACCACGGTGGCGCCGACACCAAAAGTGACGATGGTTGAGTCAGAGCCAGCAAGACAAACTCGATGCAAATTCCATTCCATTCCTCACCGAGGATCTGCCATCACGGGCAAGACTTCCGCAAAAGGATCCACTGATTCATCGATACCATGCGTTGCGCGTGAAGAACAGCACAGCAGCACATCGATAAGCGATGACGGAGGGTCGAGGGTAACCGACCAGCCAAGTACCATACATAGTACGGCCACTGATTCATGGAAACCACCGTTGCGTATGAACAGCACAGACTATGTATGCCATCACGATGCGTCATCCAAGTGGCTGATGGGTCGCTTGGAAATGGATGCATTTTGAGGTCTCTTGATAGTGCTCACAATTCCAAAACTCAAACACTTCAACACACTCATCCACAAAACAACAAAAATGAAGATCATTGCTGCCATTTCCCTTCTTGCCGCTTCGGCTTCTGCCTTTTCTGTGGACAGCATCCCCGGTGCCATTGCCCCAACTGGTCTTTTTGATCCTCTTGGCTTTGCCGCCAAGGCTGACGAACCAACCCTCAAGCGATACCGCGAGGCTGAACTCACCCATGGCCGTGTTGCCATGCTTGCCACCATTGGTTTCTTGGTTGGTGAAGCTGTTGAGAGCAAGACCTACCTCTTCAACGGCGAAGTCACTGGACCTGCCATCACGCACTTGGCTCAAGGTTAGTAGTGTACACGTGCTGTAATTTGTCACATCACACCATGGTGATTTTCAACATGTCTCTGTACTCACATTTTTCTTCAATCAATGTCCTTCACACCAGTCAACCCTGTCTTCTGGATTCTTGTTGGGTGCTGGTATTGCCAAGGCCGAGACTCAACGTGCTGAGATTGGCTGGGTTGAGCCCAAGAATGTCCCCTTTGACAAGCCTGGTCTCTTGAGGGACACCTATGTCCCCGGTGACATTGGCTTTGACCCCCTTGGATTGAAGCCTGAAGACCCTGAAGAGTTCTTCCAAATGCAAACTAAGGAACTCCAAAATGGACGTCTTGCCATGCTTTGGGCTGGCTGCTGGTTTCCTAGCACAGGAGCTTGTCAAGGAAAGGGAATCATCGAGAACCTTCTCAACTAAGCCAGATGATCTTGGCGTTACTCAGAACTTGTACATATGACAGCAAGCAACTGGACATAGCATTTTAAACTAAGCAAATTGAACATAAAAGAAATACCAAAAGAACAGGATAGATTAGAATGTTTTTTAAAAAGTCAATGACAGTGAACTGAGTAATCTCAATATGGTGCTCTTTGCCGAGAATATCACCGCAATAGTCATGAAAAGATTTTCAGGGATTCCCAATTTGGTATTGTAGGGCACTTCCATGGTGTCTGAGGTTTGAACGTGCTTTGAATGGACGGTAGCGAGGTCTAGAAGGCGAGCTCTCTAGCCTACACTTGCATACGCTGTGACACCTAGGTTTCGTAACTTTATCCATAAGCTTAAGTCTTCCTGGGAGGTACTAGATCCAAGTTGGCCTTCAAGGACGGCTTCGATTAGATACGCGTCACCACGCCTTCGATATCAATCATCTGGTTAAATGGTGCCAGCACTCTATGCCGAGATAGGCGTAAACATATACTTTCCAGCACCTAACTCCGCAAAGGCACCTCCAGCAATAGGTCCACAAATGTACAGGCCCTTGCTCGTGATGGCCACGACCTTTACACCATTCATATAGGCCACTCCATGGCTTCCACCGTCGCCAGCATTGCCTTGTGCACCAGTAGTGGTTCCAACGGAGACACCGGCACTGGCTCCACCAATCGTCGCATGATAATCGTACTTGAGCTCGAATTTGCCGCTGGTGAATTTTTGTGTAGCCTCTGCGTTCTCGAGAAAGACAATCTGTTTGATGTTTTCAGCGCCGAAACCACCGAGAGTTCCTACTGCATATGTGGCGTCTCCGAGCTTCATGCCATCCTTCAGAAAGACTTCGCCTGTGCCGCCTTTACCGCCAATGCCGATGGCGACGCTGGTAATGCTTGGAAACACGGCATAGGCATGGCAGGATTCAAACTCAGGGGCCATGCCTTGGTTCTTAGCAAGGTTGATTGTTTGTTCTATGGAAGAGACGGACATGATGGAATTACTTGTTTTGATTTTGTTTGTTCAGTTTGGCACTGTATCCTTTTGCTTTTATGGATGATACCGGTACCGGTCAGACTACTGTCGATTTCCGGGAATATTCTTGTTGACCACGAATCGAATCTTCAATCCCTCCCAAACTACAGCGTCCGCATTACATTGTCAGCAATATGCGGTTATACTGTACGTTTTTACTGTTTCCGTATGCAATTTTGCGATTCTTTATTGCAAGCATTTTATGAAATGAATACATGAAGAGTACATGTACGCAGTACCGATACCGTGCGTTGTCGGTGTTTGCCATTGTTGCCGTATCACAAGAAAATCAACAACAACACAACAACAGCCGCGTCTTCCCTGTATTGCTTTGAGCGATTTCTTGGCCGTGCGGTGCCTTTACTATATTCTTTGCGAGCTATTACCTCTACTGTACTCACTTGTTGGCTGGTGATGAAATCAATCTATCACACTACTAGCTAGTAGCTACGTAGCAACCGAGCTGCTGCGGTACTCTACCCGTAGTTCAACACCGGTAGCCACTGCTACGATGCTACCGAGGCTACCGGTACCGGTAGCTACCGCCGGTACTACTACTAGCTAGAGTTAGTAGCCGATCACACATCGTCGATCCCTTTGTGCTGTGCGTGATGGTGTAGTAATTTAGGTATGTTCCGCGCACCTGGCTCGGCTTTTGTCTGTACGTACGGTAAAGGTATCTGCTCCCTGACAACCAGGAATACAACCGTGTACATGGAGTACCAGGCTCTACGTGTTACCCTGTCTTTCCTTATGTTTGTGGTGTTTCTACCTTTCTCGATCAGTTCGCGAACGACCTGACTGGCTCTACTGGAACATCGACACTGGTATGAACGAAGCTTTCGCAAACACACTGACGCACACAAGAGGAAGAAAGTCAATCCAAGCAAAAGATCGCAAAGTGATCGGCAGAGTGGAAAAGCACATGAAAATCGCAAAGTCCTCGAAAATGCTAAGTCCACGAACGGCAAAGACAAAGTCGCTCAGATCACACACAAACAAGATAACAAAACACAACAAGGAAAAACACAAGTCACAAAAAATTCTTAAAACTAAAATGAAACATATAAAATTTGTTTTTTGCTATGCCTACAGCAGGATCGCGCTGTAGGCTGGGTACCACCAAGGCAGTTCGCTCAACGCAAGCGTGGGTGGAAGCCGGTGGGCTGATTCTTCTTGTCGTGCTTAAACTTGTTGATGATCTGGTGACCGTAAGCCACCCGTAGGTGGCATAGATGCGGTCGACCGCTGCCCTCCAATCGAAGCCCTTCGCCATCAACCGAATAACACAGTCCCACACATGCTTGCGGCGGCAGAACTTGTCCTTGACGCGGCCGCGCTCACGAGCAGTAAACTCGCATGCGGCCTTGTTGCCATTCAGGCCCTTGATCCACTCGTCCCACAGCTCGTAGAGGTTGAAAGGCTTCTTCGAAAGCTGGGCTGGCAGGGTAGCGGGTGTAGGGGCCCTTGCGGCAGGAGGACGGGCCAAACGCCCAGGACTCGGCGGTGGTGGTGGGGGAAGTCCTCGCCCGCGCAGCAGCACCACCCGCCGCCAGCTCCCGCAGCACCACCACCGACGCCAGCTCCACCGGGCGCACCAGGAAGCGGAAGCCGTGGAGCACCGCCACCCCTCGCGATCAACTGGAAGTGGTTGATCCTCCCAATGTTCTTGTTCACGATGGCATGTTGGTCGAAACATAGCCCCTCAAGGAGCTGATGTCCTGTGCAAGAATCTGCTGGGCCTCCTCGCCTGCTGAGTCCTGTGTTGAAGAGCAACAATTGGTTGAGCTGTTCCATGTGACACCACCAGGAGCACCTCCAACCAAGGGCTCAGCACCAGCTTGGACCTGGGCGGTGGAGCCAACTCAGTAATGTGCAATGCATTGGTACCTTGTAGATTGTCAGAGGGATCTTGGCGACTGGGTTGTAGTCGGCCCCAGGATCCTCATCCAAAGTGGAATCTGCTGGGCCTCCTCGATTGCCTGCTGAGTCCTGTGTTGAAGAGCAAGCAATTGGTTGAGCTGTTCCATGTTGACACCACCAGGAGCACCTCCAACCAAGGGCTCAGCACAGCTTGGACCTGGGCGGTGGGAGCCAACTCAGTAATGTGCAATGCATTGGCTACCTTGTAGATTGTCAGAGGGATCTTGGCGACTGGGTTGTAGTCGGCCCCGGATCCTCATCCAAAGTGTCCGAAGCTGGGCATACTCGTCTGGATGCGGTTGCGAATGTCTCCGGCATCATATGCTCCAAGCCAGTTCCATCGCAGCCCAAAGAAGCTGGACCAAGCACCATCGGAGGTTGTTGGATGGGTCGCGCAAAGAAGTCACAAATGGAGGACAGAATGCTCGCCAATGAACCCATGTCAACACCGCTGTCAATCTTGATCGAGTACTTGACGGGGCCTCCAACTGCAAGAGTTCCCGCAACCTTGGCGTCGGTTGGCAACTGTTCCAGCCCAATGTAGACATGGACAATATGGCCGTTCTTCTCGCCCTTCCAGCGACCACGAGTCTCATTCTCGGCTTGGGTGATGCCACACTCGCTGCATAGGTTGGAGGCAGCTTGCGAACTGTGGTACCGAGGCTACCCTGGACTTGCTTGGCCAGCTCCACAAACTCAGGATCCTTCCAAGCCTTCTTCAAGACGCGTTGGTACAGGCGTTGACTCGATCTGGCTCCGTCTCGATGTTGGTCTCGATGAGCTCTTCGTCGTTGTCCAGAGCCTCGATGGCGGCAAGGAATGCTTCTTCATCGTCAACACGGTAGTGCCCAAACAAAAACTTGGGATCTCCATGTCCGCTCTCAAGCCGAGTCTCGATCCAAATAGCCAAGGAAACCAGAGTGCAGAAATCCGGGTCGGCGGCACCCAAGATAATCTGGTCAGGACAATTGCGCTCCTCCTGGACGTTCTTGCTCCAGGATACCTTGGTTTGGAGAGCGAAGTTTGGAAACTTGGAGTGGCTGCGGAAGTCCATAGTCTCCATGTTGGTCAGATCGTCAGTGCGACCAATCATGTGGAACTGAAGCTTCATCATGGTGGGAGTCTTGATCGTGAGGTCAATGTTGGCACCTCCATCGCGCTCCAGGATCCGAATGGTCTTGCGGAATTCACGCAGCTTGAGATCCCTCTTGGCATTGGAAGGAACGCCCTGCTTCCTGACCTCCGCCTTCTTCACGGCTTTGATCACTTCGTTGACATTCGTGGAGCGAGTTGGATTCCCAACATTGGGACCAACCGCCCATGGTGCGTGCTTGTTGGGATGGAAGTAGCTGATGGCTTTCTTGTACTGATCAAGAGTGGAGGATCTCCTGTGGGTGGGACGATCATTGGGACCAGGATTGGTCTTTCCATAGGCAAGGAAGTTGAGGAACTGGGCGACATCAGTGGGTGTAATGGCAAGGAACTGGTTCTGAAGAACAAAAAATGAAGAAGATGGACCATGGTGTGAGTTACCGATCAGCGAAAGGAGGATGGGCGAAATGACAGATTTGGCGAGAACATACCTGCGTGAAACCTTGCTGCCCGTCGTAATGGCAGCGATGCTTCCATGACATGAACCTGGCGACCATCGGCCGGTAGGTTTGTGTGAGGGTCTTGCGGGCCCTCGCCATTGTGGTGAGCGATAACAAACAAAAGAGCAAGAGTAACAAAATAGCGAGCAATTTCAGCATAGCTATCGCTGTTAAAGTGCTGTATCCGAATTTATGAGAGATTCGGAGAGGAAATGAAGAGTGCACTCACTCCGACAAGAGGAAAATCCAACGGCCAACTCGGATCGTATGCCGTGATACGTCGGTTGAAATGAGAGGATGTTGCGCAGTTTACCCTCTCTCAGTGCTAAGAGAGGCATTCCGGACCCTTAAGTCTTTGAGTTTCGCGGAACGTTTGTGTGTGACTAGTTGTTCTTCGTACGATTGAGGTTGTATTTTGGTAAAGATACTTAGGGAAATGTTGTATTTTGGGGTTGCCGATGCAACTACCAATGCGATTCTGAGTAGTATGGATACCCTCAAATGACTGGTTTTCCCCGGGAAAATACTCTCAAAGTCTTTTATGTATTACCATACCCCAATAAAGCATAACCATACATAGCACTGATTGGGGGAACCGGTCACTGCCGGCGCTAGTAAGACCTAGTAAGAGTACTCCCCAAGTCCCACCAGTCGATACAACTCCCCCTTTGCACATACTCTCTACTATGCTAGTAGGGTTGTATATTGGTAATACGGTACCAGTACCTACAGCCTACAGTATAATGCCGGTATGATGAGTAACTGTTGGGGAATATAATGAGGCTCAACCGCCGCCGATTGACCATGACGAATGAAACAGCAACAATCTCCGTCCGTCAACAAAAGGAGTAACGAGCTACCTACTGTAGTAAGTAGCTGTTTGTAACGGTGGAGTACCGGTAGCGCATTTCCTACCTCTAGCTAGGTATTACTTTTCTTGGAATATATGAAATCTCTGTTCGTGTTCGTAGTTTTTGCCAGTCGCCTCTGTTGCCGCAATGGTGGAGGTGGTGGACTGTTGTGCTGGGCAGAGGCGGAGGAAGCGATCATGAATACTGACACATATCGTCACACTATGGAAACAACAACAGCAACAACAAAACATCGAATTCGACAACGAAGGAGATGGCAGGACAATAGCAGTATGACAGAGCAGCAGCAACAGCACGAACAACAACGAGAACAACAACAAAGCGACAACCTACAACAGCAAAGGCGACGACTAGGATCCATCAATAACCGGAGACGAGGGGGTGGTGGATTTTTGGCCCGACACTATTATTTTACAAGCGACAGCCATAATTATGATGATTATGACGATGATGATTGCCCGCCGGATGATGGCGGCGGCTGGCCACACCACCATCACCTTAACATTTTTCAGCGAGATTGCGTGCCTCTTCTAACAGACGACGACGACGACGATGACTCGCATCAGAGAAATCATTATACGAGAAAACGGGGCAAGGGCGGCAAAGGCAAGGGTGGGAAGGGTTATCGTGCGAGTAAAAGTAGTCGAAGCAAGGCCAAGGGAGGAAAGGGTGGATATGGGTATGCAATTCGCCTTTCCGATAACGAGAAGGGCTTTAACTTTCACCGGCCCTGTCCTCCAGGCTATATCCACAAGGATACTCTATTACACGTACCGGTACCCCGACCTGGTCCCAAACGGCCTGGCTTGTGGGACTCCCACGATGGAGAGGCAAGCGTCACAAGAGAACCCACACCTGCGCCTCGAGCCGTCACAGATCGACCCAGCTCTATGGCGCCGACAACGGCTACACCCACTGTTGGTGCCAGCACACTTCTGCCCACAACCGCACAACCACTGCTACTCCCACAGTGGCGACAACAACTGCGACACCTACTGTCCAGCCAACCATTCCCGTCGCAATGGACAATACCAACAACCCAACAATAATGGTTCCGACTATTGCGCCGAGTATTGCGACTACGACTATCGCTCCCGCGCCTACAACGGCTACACCCACTGTTGGTGCCAGCACACTTCTGCCCACAACCACGACAACCACTGCTACTCCCACAGTGGCGACAACAACTGCGACACCTACTGTCCAGCCAACCATTCCCGTCGCAATGGACAATACCAACAACCCAACAAAAATAGTTCCGACTATCGCGCCGAGTATTGCGACTACGACTATCGCTCCCGCGCCTACAACGGCTACACCCACTGTTGGTGCCAGCACACTTCTGCCCACAACCACGACAACCACTGCTACTCCCACAGTGGCGACAACAACTGCGACACCTACTGTCCAGCCAACCATTCCCGTCGCAACGGCTACACCCACTGTTGGTACCAGCACACTTCTGCCCACAACCGCAACAACCACTGCTACTCCCACAGTGGCGACAACAACTGCGACACCTACTGTCCAGCCAACCATTCCCGTCGCAATGGACAATACCAACAACCCAACAATAATGGTTCCGACTATTGCGCCGAGTATTGAAACGTCCGGATTTCCTTCAAGTTTATTTCCTTCAAATTTTTTTTCATCGTCCTTTTTTATCACTACCAAAGCAACTGGTGATCGGGCCATGGGCGATTGCTACTTTGTGGACGTGCAGCAAATCTGCAATTTCATCAAACCCCCCCCCTGCCACTCATACATCATGATGTTTACCTACTACAATGGGGGATTCTATCGAGACCCAAACAACCCTGAAAGCGAGGATTGGATCGATTCGGGCGAGTCCGAAACAATCTACGAAGTGGTGACAGTTACCGGAATTGTGGATTGTGAAAACGAAGAGACCACTCCCGACACGTGTACCATTGCGGTGCAAAACCGAGGCACGTGTAACGAATGCCGCTACGATCGCGAGACCAAGCTCTATTCGCTCGTGGATTGCAGCAATCTGCCTGGGGTCATCTTTGAACAAGGAGTGGAACAGTCCTATCAGTATTATGATGATGGGGCCCTTCCACCCTATGAACACCAGTTCTTTACGTTGGAGTTTGATCAGGAAAGGTGTGACGAATACGCTTTGCCAGAAGGATAGTCGGAAATTTTATTTTGGCTGATAAACACAGATTCTTGATTCGATATTGGACCGCAAACAAAGAAGAAGCAACCTTTTTTCTTTATCAACGTCTCGGCGCCATAGAGCTGGGTCGATCTGTGACGGCTCGAGGCGCAGGTGTGGGTTCTCTTGTGACGCTTGCCTCTCCATCGTGGGAGTCCCACAAGCCAGGCCGTTTGGGACCAGGTCGGGGTACCGGTACGTGTAATAGAGTATCCTTGTGGATATAGCCTGGAGGACAGGGCCGGTGAAAGTTAAAGCCCTTCTCGTTATCGGAAAGGCGAATTGCATACCCATATCCACCCTTTCCTCCCTTGGCCTTGCTTCGACTACTTTTACTCGCACGATAACCCTTCCCACCCTTGCCTTTGCCGCCCTTGCCCCGTTTTCTCGTATAATGATTTCTCTGATGCGAGTCATCGTCGTCGTCGTCGTCTGTTAGAAGAGGCACGCAATCTCGCTGAAAAATGTTAAGGTGATGGTGGTGTGGCCAGCCGCCGCCATCATCCGGCGGGCAATCATCATCGTCATAATCATCATAATTATGGCTGTCGCTTGTAAAATAATAGTGTCGGGCCAAAAATCCACCACCCCCTCGTCTCCGGTTATTGATGGATCCTAGTCGTCGCCTTTGCTGTTGTAGGTTGTCGCTTTGTTGTTGTTCTCGTTGTTGTTCGTGCTGTTGCTGCTGCTCTGTCATACTGCTATTGTCCTGCCATCTCCTTCGTTGTCGAATTCGATGTTTTGTTGTTGCTGTTGTTGTTTCCATAGTGTGACGATATGTGTCAGTATTCATGATCGCTTCCTCCGCCTCTGCCCAGCACAACAGTCCACCACCTCCACCATTGCGGCAACAGAGGCGACTGGCAAAAACTACGAACACGAACAGAGATTTCATATATTCCAAGAAAAGTAATACCTAGCTAGAGGTAGGAAATGCGCTACCGGTACTCCACCGTTACAAACAGCTACTTACTACAGTAGGTAGCTCGTTACTCCTTTTGTTGACGGACGGAGATTGTTGCTGTTTCATTCGTCATGGTCAATCGGCGGCGGTTGAGCCTCATTATATTCCCCAACAGTTACTCATCATACCGGCATTATACTGTAGGCTGTAGGTACTGGTACCGTATTACCAATATACAACCCTACTAGCATAGTAGAGAGTATGTGCAAAGGGGGAGTTGTATCGACTGGTGGGACTTGGGGAGTACTCTTACTAGGTCTTACTAGCGCC